GATAAAATACCTAGACATGCATACAAGTTGTATAAGCTTATAAAATAATCAATACAACAATTATATAAACCTAAGACATCCCCTACCTCATTTTGTGATGAAATTACAAATCCCCACCGAAAAAAAATCGCTCCGAATCCGACGATACTTCTAGGTTTTGTCAGGGACTACGAGGGAAACAATAATCACCTTTGAGGTATCACCAAAATCCAAACCCGAACTCAAAACCCGAACTCAAAACTGATCAAAACTGGCTTATAATAAAGGGGAAAGGACCGCCTCGCCAAGACCTACTGTAATACCTCTAGTTTTGAAAGGGATATAATCGGAATTTTATTATTTATTTTAATATTTTCAGTATTTATTTTATTATTTGTAGGTGCTTATGTGGCTATGTGTGAAATTTGAATTACGTGATGTGTGAATTGACTGGTTGGTTTAATTTAATTATATGTTTACTTTATATTTAATTGGCTTACTTGTTTATTTGTTTTATTTTGATCTCACTGTTGTAAGGAATTGTTTAATTAGGTAATTAAGTTAAATGAGTTTTTTAAAATACGTTCAGTACTTAAGGTTCTTTGAAAAGCCACGTATGTTGGCCGATGTAGATTTTAAATAGGGTTTTCTATGGGCCGACTAGGATTTAGTGTAGGGTTTGAATTGAACCTAGGTCTTGTGTAAACCTATAAATATAGGTATTAAGTTCTGCCTAGGGCTTTAGAACCCTATTCACGACAGTGGAGGCAGAGAAGGAACAGAAGAGGATTACCTAGTTCGCCGGAGAAACTTAGGAAGACGACGTTGAGGTTTTGAACTGAAAACTCACAGGCAAGTTCTAGTCCTAACTCTATCCTATTGACTTGTGTTCTTTGCATGTCTAATTCAACTCCAGGAATAAATAAGAATCAAACTTAAATTGGTGTTCATGTCTTGATGTTTTTAAACTGAAAGTGGTCGTGGGTTGTGTACCGTTGTTTACATACCTTCCTATGAAATTCTTGATCTAAGTCATGTAAACTGATGTACAGAGAGTTGAACTAGTCTTAATATTACTCCGGTTCACATGATTGAATTATTTAGAACAGTGCGTGTTCCTGAATTATAAACTGCTCGCTCTAACCTCTCGTTGCATAATTCTTGTTCCGACTGTTGTCAGTAAATGACTAAGGCATTAAACTATTTCTGGATAACACTGAGACATAACTTAAACTAATAGCAGCCTTAGTAATTTGGGACGGATGAACTGGACGTCGCTAGAGAGGACACAGTTGAAGGAAGCAAGCAGAACGGATGAGAGGAGGAAGGAGGCGGCTCCATGAAAACATGGAGCTGGCTCAAAGTTCTTTGAAGGTGGTTCCAAGTGAGTTAGAGGTGGCTCCAACTTGTTTGTGGCTCCAAATTTTTTGGAGCCAGCTCCTTCAAGGTTTTTTCCTGTTTTTGATGTTTCGGCGACCGTTTGGGCTACGAGGGTTGGATTTTGGAGATTTCAGATCTTGTTAGAAGGTATAATTGGGGTTTTCAGTATGTTCTAAGGCCATATTAAAGTTTCCAAGGGTTGGTTAACGTGGATTAACACACTGGTGTATATAGTAAAACAATGCATAAATTGTTAGATGCAAATCTGGTTACTGTTTTTGGAGATGTAGAGGTTTAGTTGCCTATGATTTAATTTGCAGTTTACAGTGGATGGTTACACCATACTAGTCATGGAACAGTGGTAGGAATAATCATACTTAAACTTTAATCACTGCTAGCTACGGATCAACTGACGTATAGAATTTAACGACTTGCTTCAGTTAGTGTTGGTTTGGTATAATAGTAAGCATATGAATCTGTATATTCTGTTATGCTATCTTGGATTTATATTGATGTTTATATGTAGGTTATAAGTCATTAATTGTTGGATCTTGGAATAGTTTCAAGTGAGCATGTTAATTCTGATAATGTTATTATTAAGTTCATAGTGGATTACAGAATAGATTATACCTATTCTCCGTATTTTAATCTTTTTGGAGAATCATGTTACAAGATGGAAAGAACTAAATTGCTTAAATTAATTTAGCAATTGTTTGGGACTATAACATAATTATAAAACTTATTTAAATGCATGATAGAGTTGTTGATATATTAAAACTGATCTATGCATGCTCTAGATGCTGGTTGTTGAACTATTAAACCATTTCTTGCAATTACATGGTTTAGATCTTGGATTTAAATTGCTGAAACTTTAATCACTTTTCTGCAATGATATGGATATTTGGTTTTGGACTGTAAATTACTTGCTTATTATTTATATATTGTAATTTACATGGATATGGAGGATGATGTGACCCGAGCGTGTGCACAAAATAATGCACAACACTTTGGTTTTGGAAATGGTGTCAAGTGGGCATCATATTTTAAAATTTATAAAACCACTAAACACTTATACTATGTAGTATGAAGCGAGTAGGGATCGAACCCAAGGGATTGAACACGTGTTGGGATTAAACTTGTTTTTAGTGCTAATGAGATTGCACAAGAGAGAGAGAGAAAGAGAGTGAGAGAAAAAGATTTTTGGTGAAGTGATTAAACTAGAGTTAAATCGAAAGCATGGAAATAGAAATGACAATGCAAGTAAATTAAATTAAATTAAACTAAGAATTAAAGAGATATGAGAGAGTCTTAGGGTTAGGATTCACCACTAAGCTCATGCAATTAACCATATGCTTTCAATTAATGGGGAATTCATTAGTATAATTATAGATGTAGCCACATTATCATCACAAATCACAATTGTAAGTATAGATTATCAACATCAAGAATGAGTTGTCTACTTAATGACAATTAAACTAAAGTGTAGAACCCATTCAAGACTACGTCATAACCCACCATACACATTCACAAATGTATCAAATAAGAGCACACATCAATCAAGAGAATAATACTAATTGTAATTAAAAGCATGGATTAACATAATCAAGCGCAAATTACCTACTTAACTAAATTAACTAATAACAAGAAAGCTAATTTGTAGAACAACCCATCAAGATTAAGCCTTTATCCATCAAATTAATTGACAATTGTATCAAATAAGTATCATGTTATGGCCATTACTAAACACAACTACAAGAAGTATTTAATGTAGAATATAATCCTAAATCAATCACACATAGACATGCAAATTACATATAGAATTAATGAAAGAATTAAGTTCTAATCATCTAATGAAGAATAAAATCCCTAATTAATCATACATAGACATACAATTAATTGGAGATTTCAATGGAAGAATTCATCAATACAAACCCTAATTTATCAAATCAAGCATGTATATATAAAGAAATCACAAGGCAATATAATTTAATTACAACATAATAATTCCCCAAGAAAAGAAATACAAAGGTTAGGGTTACATGAACTTAGGGCTCATCCAAGCCCTAAGTGAAGAACTAGCTCATAGAGAAGATAATCATGGTGTCAACAAGCTCCATCTCCATCTTTTGGCTTCTTCTTCTTCTTCCTTCAATTGTAGACAAAGCCTCTGTAAAAATGTTCTTCAAACCCTAGCTTTTCCTTTTTCCCAGAGAGAATGTAATATCACGGTACAAAAAATAATAATAAAACTAAATAATAAAAAAATAAAACTCTCTCCTAAATAAAATAAAAACTAACCCTAAACTAATGGCTCACTGGGCCTTAAGTAATAACCCTATTAAAGCCCAATAGTTCACAAAATAAGCCCAAACAATAAGAAAAATCTGTAATGTTGCCAAGTCCTGGGATCGATCCCCCACCCTGGGGGATCGATCCCCCTAGAGTTGGAAATTTCCTTTAATCCCTATTTAGCTCCATTTTGGCCTCGAGCTCATTAGTTTGCTTCTTCATCTTTGGGAACATCATCAAAGGCCTGAGATTGACCGCTTTTGAAGAATAAACACACTATAGAGCAATGGGCTGCGACCTCCTTTTTGCCATTTTCTGAACTTTTTCTGAATATCTTTGCTTGACTCCAAAAAGGCTTTAATGGACCGTTCTTAGCTCATGTTAACTTTATTGCCCTGAAATACATATAAACATAAATTAGGACTAAAACATGAAATTAAGATAGATGCAATGACTGAAATACCCTAGCTTAGGTGCTGAAATGTGCAACATTTAAGCACTTATCACACCCCCAAACTTAAATATTGCTAGTCCCTAGCAATGAACTAAAGCATGGAAATAAAACAAACATATATATAACTATGAACTAATAAAGCAAATAAAGATAACACCACTTTCGTAGGGATCACGGTTGCATTTAGCATATGCAACAAGCCTTTTAAACCCCTAGGTTACCCCTAGTAGACGAGTGAAGTCTCGTGAGGGTTTCCAGAAATGGTACCCACAAACATCAAAAGCTCTTTCTTACTTGAGAAGCAATGACACATATTAAACAAGTGTTGAAAGTAGACTACCTCAAGTATGCAAATTTCTGCCATTTCTAAGCTATTATCAACATTTCAACATCATGTAAGCAAAAACGGTCCTCCACACATCAATCAATTAATCATGCAAATTGAATCAATTCTATCATCCTTTTAAGTGAACCGGCATCAAAATGTGTTGTTATCCTAGTAAATCAAAGTAATGGCATAGCCTTACCCTCAAACTAGCATGCAGATATAGTACCAGACATCAAGACATTGAATGAACCTTATTATTTAATCAAACATTTTTTTTTTTTTATTGATTTCATTTTTTTTTATTTTTTATTTTTATGTATGGCCATGTGCAATGTCCAAGTTCCTTAAGCTCTCTAATCACCCCATGTAACAAGCGTTGAGCCAACGACTCCCAAACCAGATGGTCTTAAGGCGTTAAGTGTAAAGACACTCCTAAGGGCGTTAAGTGTAAAGACACTCCTAAGGGCGTAATGACTTAGAATGGCAAGGTTACGAACTCAAACAAATTATACATCTTACATTCTTCCCTTGTCTTCCTTTTTAATCAGTTGACATGTTGAAAGAATGCAGTTATTTTTTTTTTATTTTTTTTTTTTATTTCTCACTTTTGGTGAGTGCTTTTATTTCTTTTCTTTGCAAGGTCATTTTATCAAGAATGAAAGCTTTCAAAGCATACTAGCTCAATTAGGATAAACCAAGACAATAATCAACTAAGCATGTACCCCACAAATTGAATGCTAGTGTGCGCAAGTACAAGTGTAGAATTCTAGAATTAACTTTTAAAGCATTTTCAACCAACAAGATGATGTGTACCACAAAAACAAACATGATGTCAAAAATTAAAATTTTCCCCTAAATGGCATCCTAGAGCATACAAGAAGTATTAGACTCTAACAACTTGCTTTCCAATGGCACTATGTTTCAAAAGTTCGAAATCATTGCCAAATACATTTCAAATCTCAATTATGTGTTTAAAGCTCAACTTAAAGTAGAATGTAACACGACTACCTTACCCCCAAACTTAAACTGCACATTGTCCTCAATGTGCAATGAGAACAATGAAAAATGATGGAAAGAGTATACCGTAATGGCAAAGACTATGAAGTCCGGCAATGATCTAGTAGGAAAGATGTCTCCCCTAAACTTGGATGCAAAAACCTAGCTGTATAACCATACTAGCAAACTCACATCAAATGCATATGAAATAAGCAATGCATACAGTTTAAAACAATATATAATAAGAGGCAAAGAAATATGAGATGAATGCCCTTGAGAAAAGATAAAAAACAGTCGTAACCAAGCATAAAGGCATACTGGTAACACATTTTTTTTTTTTTTTAAAGAAACAAAGGAAAAGAACATATATATACAACCAACAAAATAAAACAAATAAACAAAAATAAGAAAAATGGGCTAAGTTTAACGTCTCTAGCAAGACGGAATGATACTTTGCAATTTTTATTTTTTTAATTTTTTATGTTTATTTTATTTTATTTATTTATTATTGTTTTATTTTTATTTTTTTAAATGAATATGAATAACAAAGCCAAAAACAATCATCCATGTATATATCTATAGCAAAAACATCAATACAAAACATATATGGATGAATTAAACCAAAATATATCTTCAAAACCCAGAATTACAAGTTCCCAAAATAGCCAGCTCTAAATCACAAAAATCTAGCTATAGCCACATAAAATCCCATCCACCTAAAATAGAAAAATCTGAACAGCATAAAATAGACAAAAGAAATCATGCATCAGGTGGCAATGTGGAAGTGCGTGGGAGACTCGATGAAACAATCTCATATAGATCTCGTAGCATGCGCTGGGTAGTGGTGTGCTGCTGTATAAGCTCAGCATGCTTGACTCGATGCTGCTCTCGAGATTCAGCTAACTCGATCCTCAACTGCCCCACAATGGCATTGAACTCTGCCCTAGTCACCCTTGCAAACTCCTCTGCATGTGGTGACGCAGCATGTGCTATCTCATAAGTAGCACCATCAGCAATCTACTCCTCAGACCTCCCAACGACGTCCTCAACCAGGGCATTCACGTCCTCTCTAGCACCTGCTACCATGCCATCACCTTTCTTCTTGGCACTAGGTATATGAGAAAGGCTTAAGTTCCACTGTGCTGGCCTAAAAGTCGCCCGTGGAGCCTCAGAGATCTCATCATTATCAACCACGAAGCGCCGAAGGACAAGGAGCTGGGTAATAAGATACGGAAACGGAAGTTTCCATTTTTTCGCATTCGGATCCCCACTCGCCACTAAATGCTTCTAATATTTATGCATCTGGTTAAAGACGAAAGATGGAACAGAAAACCATGTTCCAGTGTGGGTAGCATACAACGCTATTAAGGAACTCTTGTCCCCGCTGTACCTTATGACCTATTGGAAAAACATTCTGTTTCAGAACCTGATCGAAAAACCACATATCCTTAGGTAATGAGGACTTGCTGGCACAATTCTTCTTCTTCTTGTCACCATACTTCCCATCACACATATCTTTAACAATAGAATGCACAGCAGGTTTTTTCGAGAATTTGCCAAAACGTAGCTCCCCATTCTCTGCTAGCAAGTCAGTGGGGCACAAATGTGGACACCCTAATGCCTGGGCTATGTCTAAGACACCAAAGTGAATTCGGACACCATCAATGGTTGTAACTAATATGTCCGGCGCATCACTAAACCATTCCATATTCTGATAAAACAGGCGCACAATACGAGGATAGACAACCTCTGCAGCTGGTCTAAAAAGGCAGGACAAACGCCTCCTTTCAAATTCTAACACCGCCCATTCAGTCGTGTCATTGTGGCGAAACGTACCTTCAATGTCGAAGGTAGTCTCAAAATCCAGACGTTTGTTGCGCCACACAACTTTGGGAGTCTCTTTGGAGGGTTTGAAACGTTTGGAAGAAGAAACACGAGACATTTCTTAAGATTGAAATATATGGGAAGTAGTCCAAAATCAATAACCCTAACTGTTTTTTTTTAAGTCATCAATGAAAATTTAAAAAAAAAAAAAAAAATGGAATTTGGAACCCAATTAACAACTCACAAACTTGCCAAAATCACAAAATCAGCTCTTACCCACATACTTGCCGGAGAAAACCCAGTCAAAAGCCGCCGGAAACGATGAAGAAACCAAATCAAAATCTAGCCAAAATCGCTGGAGGGAACAGCCAGTTGCAACGCCGGAAAAATAAAGTGCGAGTCTTAAATAGCGCTGGAATTTCAGCCCAGCCGGAATCGTTCTGTTGCGGTTTTTTATTTATTTATTTATTTTTATTTTGACCCACAAACTAGCCGGCGATAAGCCCAGCCGAAATCACCGGCGACACCAAGCCGAAATCGCTGGAAAGAGCCGCCGCGATCACCGGAGATAACAACCCAGATCCGACGCCGTTGGAAGAAGCAGCCACGATCGCCGGAGAGACAGCCCAGTCACCGTCGGCGCAGCGAATCACTGCCGATTAACCAACCCAGAAACTGCAACCCAAAATCAGAACCCAGAAATTGGCGAAAATCGTCGACCAAATCAAAATCGCCGGAGAAATCGGCGATTTACAAATCAGAAACCGTCGGCACAGAAAAACTCAGAGCCATGGCCCAGGAATTTGACGCCTTCAATGCCGCGGAAAAGAAGGACAGAACAATGAGGTTTGGATGAAGAAATTGGGCATGGAGATTGGAAGTGGAGATTTGGGTTAAGGAATCCAAAGGGAGAAGAGAGGAATTTATGTGGGGGTGAAGGTAAACAGTGAATGGGCAAGGTTAAGGGAAAAAGGAAAAGCTAGGGGTTTGAAGAAACTGAGAAGAGGAATGTATTCGTGGTGCTAAGGGGCGATCGATCTGCTTTGACGGGGGATTGACAATTTTAGGCAAAAAAAGTCCCCTTCACTGTTTAATGAGAAAGGGAAAAGTACAAGTAAAATGGGATAGATCCACGTGGACGGGGATCAATCCACTTAGGGTTTTTTTTTTTTTATTTATTTTTAAAAAAAAAATAAAATAAAACAAAACTAAAAAGAATATATACACTAAAATGAATAAAAATAATAATAATAATAATAAATTAAAATAAAATCACTTAGTACTTTTCTTTAAAAAAAATTTTAATTTTTTTTTTTTATGTTTTTGAATAAAGCAAAACTAACATGAAATATATATAAAAATAATAATAATAAAATAGAAATAAAATCAAACACCAACCTACATTACCCATTTACAATTTTTTTTTTTTATTTTGAATTTCTGAAAGCAGAATTGTATAAAAAAATAAAATAAAGTAAAAGAAGAAAATAAAATAAAATTTTATTTAGACGAAGTTGTAAGAAATAAAATAAAGAGAAATGAGGGAGAAGTAAAGTCGGGAAACTCTACGAAAAACTAGTATTTAACGTCACTAGAAAGACGTTGGGGCGACTCACTAGTCGAAAGAATCAAAAACCGGATATGAGACATTCTCATTGATCCGTTTATCTATTTTCCCCAATGGATGTTCTCTCACAACAATGAATACATCTCCTAAAAGAATGATTTGGAAAGAAATGATGGAAGATGCAATTTGTTCCCTTTCATCCACGGTCTTGAAGATAAAGTCCATCATGATCGGCCTTGCACTTGGCAATGTAATGTCTTTCAAAGACTCGGTTGGATTATTAGGAAACTCAATCTCTTCATCCTTTTTGTCAACTTCCACATTGATCACTTTCTCCTCCTTCACTAAGGTCGCCTCAATGACTTCATGCTCAATATTAAAAGGAATATCCTCATAAATTGGATTGGCCATTGATGAACTTACAACTTCTTCCTCTTTTTGATAAGAAATAGTACTTACGATTGGAGGAAGAGATTCTTTTGAGTTTTTCCATGGCGGGAAGTCTAAGATGGCCACGGAGTCCATTAGAGAATTCACTTCATATATGGAGCTTTCAATGTCAAATGCATTTATATTGAAGTGATAGAGGCATGCCTCAAGAGGATCTTCAGAAAGAATAGAATGAATGGAAGGAATAGCTTCTTCAACAATTTCATCCAAGACATTCACCATGAAACAGTCGCCTTCATTGATAGGATGTTGGCTCGTGTTGAACACATTAAGATTAACCATCATATTGCCAAAAGATATGTCCATAATGCCGGACCTACAATTGATTATCGCATTAGCGATGGCAAGGAATGGTCTTCCTAAAATGATGGGAATGTAAGTGGTAGGATTGGGAACCGGCTCAGTGTCAAGCACAACAAAATCAACCAGGAAATAGAATTTGTCGACTTTGATGAGGATGTCCTCAACAATTCCCCTTGGTTGTTTTGTAGACCTATCGGCGAGTTGAATAACTACCGAAGTTGGCTTAAGGTTTCCCAAACCTAATTGAAGATACACGGAGTAAGGAATAACATTAACACTAGCTCCTAAGTCAAGAAGAGCCCTTTTGACCTCATGGTTTCCTATGGTACAAGAGATGGTTGGCGCGCCGGGGTCTTTGAACTTAGGTGGGGTGTTAAGCTTAATGATAGAGCTCACTTGCTCCATAAGAAGCACTTTCTTTGGGCTTGGTCCCTTGTTCTTCTTCTTTTGAGTACACAAGTCCTTCAATGGCATATGGTGGAATTTGTCGAATAGCATCAAGAAGAGGAAGGTTGATTTTAACTTGTTTAAAAACTTCCATCATGTCATTGATTTTTCCTTCTTGCCTCGAAAATGGAGTCAAGTTTAAAGCTTGAGGAAATGGAGCTTTTGGCTCATAAGGCTTCTCTACATGGGAGGAAGATGATGATAATGGAATTTGCTCCTTAATGTGACCATTTGTCCCTAGTGAAATAGGAATGGAATTGGGAATGGTAAATGGGCTAACACTTGGTTGCACCGAAACACCAACTTCACTAGGTCTCTCAACTTTGTTATCAACTTTTCTCCCACTCCTCAAGGTAGAAATGGAGTATGCATTTTGGTTAAAATAGGCCCTTTCCCTTTCATTGTTTGAACCATTTGCCCAATTTGGGCTTCAAGTTTTACAATTGATTGAGAATGCGAATGAAACATTTGATTTTCCTTTCGAAGATCACCCAAAGCTTCTAAAACCTTATCCTCAAAAGTGGGATTTCTAGAAGGCTCTTGAGGTGGATGAGAAAAAGATTGATGATTTGAAGAATGAGAATTGGAGAATTGATTCACATTTGGAAGAGGATAAGATGGAGAATGGTATGCTTGAGACTTTGCATTTCGGAGGTGGGGCGGTACATACTTTTCTTGAGAATTTTTTGAAGAGGAGGAATGATACCTCCTCCTTGATTTCTCCAAGAGAAGTGAGGATCACTCCATCCGGAATTGTAGGAGTTAGAATTTGGATTGTTTTCCGGATGAATGAAAATAGCATTGACTTGTTCTTGATACTCACTCGGAAAAACTTGTCCAAGAGGACAATTGGAAGTATTGTGAGTATAACTAGAGCAAGTCATGCACATCACACTTTGAGAATGGAAAGAGTTGGATGACTGAATTGCCGGGTTTTGGCTCGAAAGAAATTTATCAAACCTTTGAGTAAGATTTTTGACTTCGGTGGCAATTTTCATGGAACTCTCCATTTGAGAAAGACTGGAGGTTTTCTTCCCTCTTTCATTCAAATTTTGGCCAAATCGGGACAATAAAGAATGATGCATTGAATTTTCGCTCATGCGATCAAAAAGATGCCACATATCGTCTTCATTTTTGTCCAAATAGGCTCCTCCACATGAAACATCAACAATACCTTTTTGGGTATCAGATAAGCTTTCATAGAAGCAACGAACTAATTGCCACTTTGGAATGTCGTGATGTGGACACTTCCGTAGCAAATCGTTCAAACGCTCCCATGCTTCATGTAAAGGTTCTCCCTCATTTTGGGAGAATTCACGGATAGAAGCTCTCATAGCATCGATCTACTTGCGGGGTAAAATTTTTTTAGGAATTCATATTGTAGTTGAGCCCAAGATGTGATTGAATTTGCCCTCAAGTTATTGAACCAATATTTAGCCTTTTCCTGAAGAGTGAAAGGGAAAAGCTTCATTTTTAAGACTTCTTCCGGAAGGTCCGTGATTTTCACGGTTGAATAAACTTCCAGAAACTCATCCAAATGTTTATGTGGTTCTTCATTGCTCACCCCATAGAAAATGGGGCACATTTGGATGGTTGCGGGCTTGATTTCATAATGGGTTGCCTGAAAGTTTGGCAACCGGAAGCATGTTGGTGCATTGTATTCATTTGGAGTGTAGTGATCCCGAAGAGATAATTGAGGATTTGGGGGATACACTACATGATCTTGAGGATGAATTTGTATTATTGGAGGTTGTTGCATTTGATTGGGTTATGGAAACATATTAGGATGTGGAATTCTCAAGGGTGGATGCACACCTTGAGGTGGATGCCCATTAAGAGGGTGATACTCACCTAGATTATCCATATGCCCTAGATCTTAGAATTGATTTTCCATTAAGTGTGGGATAGTCAAGAATGGGAAGAATTCTCCTAGAAACAACAAACCACAACAACAATCAACAACAATTCACCACCTCCACATACGATGTTCCCATACTCCCATGTTATATCAATGTACAAAATTAAATTGCCTCCACACGGGCCGATGCTTTCTATCAAGAAAGTAATAGCCTCATTTTGGGCTTATGCTTGGACAAGAATTTAAACAATGTGATAGCCTCGACAAGGGCTATCTCGCAAGCATGTAGAGAATTGAACAATTATAGTTAAAGAAATTCAAGGAAGCTCACGAAAGTCTATAGCAACAACGTCACAATCGTGCCAAGATCCAATGCTTGCTCCTCTTCTTTTCAAGTACCTAATTGAACAAGAGGGATTTGTAAGAAAATAGTAATTTAAAGAAAACAATCAAATTAACCCTAATGCCTAATTCAATTCCAACTAAACCGTCAGTCCCCGGTAACGGCGCCAAAATTATGATGCGACCCGAGCGTGTGCACAAAATAATGCACAACACTTTGGTTTTGGAAATGGTGTCAAGTGGGCATCATATTTTAAAATTTATAAAACCACTAAACACTTATACTATGTAGTATGAAGCGAGTAGGGATCGAACCCAAGGGATTGAACACGTGTTGGGATTAAACTTGATTTTAGTGCTAATGAGATTGCACAAGAGAGAGAGAGAAAGAGAGAGAGAGAGAGAAAAAGATTTTTGGTGAAGTGATTAAACTAGAGTTAAATCGAAAGCATGGAAATAGAAATGACAATGCAAGTAAATTAAATTAAATTAAACTAAGAATTAAAGAGATATGAAAGAGTCTTAGGGTTAGGATTCACCACTAAGCTCATGCAATTAACCATATGCTTTCAATTAATGGGGAATTCATTAGTGTAATTATAGATGTAGCCACATTATCATCACAAATCACAATTGTAAGCATAGATTATCAACATCAAGAATGAGTTGTGTAATTATAGATGTAGCCACATTATCTTCAAACCCTAGCTTTTCCTTTTTCCCAGAGAGAACGTAATATCACGGTACAGAAAAAAATAATAAAACTTAATAATAAAAAAATAAAACTCTCTCCTAAATAAAATAAAAACTAACCATAAACTAATGGCTCACTGGGCCTTAAGTAATAACCCTATTAAAGCCCAATAGTTCACAAAATAAGCCCAAACAATAAGAAAAATCTATAATGTTGCCAAGTCCTGGGGGATCGATCCCCCACCCTGGGGGATTGATTCCCCCAGAGTTGGAAATTTCCTTTAATCTCTATTTAGCTCCATTTTGGCCTCGAGCTCATTAGTTTGCTTCTTCATCTTTGGGAACATCATCAAAGGCCTGAAATTGACCGCTTTTGAAGAATAAACACACTATATGAGCAATGGGCTACGACCTCCTTTTTGTCATTTTCTGAACTTTTTCTGAATACCTTTGCTTGACTCCAAAAAGGCTTTAATGGACCGTTCTTAGCTCATGTTAACTTTATTGCCCTGAAATACATATAAACATAAATTAGGACTAAAATATGAAATTAAGATAGATGCAATGACTGAAATACCCTAGCTTAGGTGCTGAAATGTGCAACATTTAAGCACTTATCAGAGGATTGTATGCACCGGTGTGGGACGGTGACATACTAGGTATGGTTTAGCTCAAAACGCTAATTCCCACCTTATGGATTTTAATTGGTGAACAGCTTTACATGTTCTATCAA